TTTGCTTTTTTTTCATTGCTTTTTTCCGTCGCTTTTTTTTCCTAGATTCCTTTAATTAATGGATAACCGAGAGACTTGATCCGTAGGACTAACTCAGCTGGATTTTTTAATTACAAGAACTGAATCCTTCAAACACCAAACACAAGACGACTTTTTGGAGGATTTAATCCACCCAGAACCAATTCCGTCAAAAAATCCGAGCGTCTATGGCCAGCTAATGTCAATGCCAATTTTTCATAGTTTCGGCTGTTATTGGTTTCTTCACTCGGTTGCTAGGCAGTTTTACTAATTGTACCTCGACAAGTGACAACAAGAAATCAAATTGGTTTTTATTAACACAAAAAAACTCGTGAAATTTTGTTTCATTTCGTATTAAATGTCTATTTATTAAAATTTAAAATTATCATTCAGTTTTCCTATTAAGAAAAAGTGTATCAACTTTTTCTCTTTCTGCTGATTGTGTTGTGATTAATAAATCATCCTGCTCTTTCTCGAGAAGAAGTAACATTATTTTATTATTGTTAATAATTGTATTCATACTCATAATAAATGTAAAATTTAACTTGAAAACACTAGCCCTCACTTACTGCACGAAAACCACAACGATACTGAATACAGATACAGAATTGGACGGTTAACTTAACCGTACCTTAAGAAACACAGTTGGCGGCGACCAGTTTTCATCGAAACCAGTCAGCCAACACCCATTTGTCACCACTACTGAGTAAATTATGTACCTACATCACCTGTAGTACCGAACCGTCGACTGTATTTCTTACTCTATAAATATTCAGTACTTAATTAAATAAAATTGAACAAAAGTTTGATTGTATACATTTAATTAAAAAGAACCAGATAATAATTTTGGCTCATTCATATTTAGAAAAATGAGTTATGAATATACACGTGGCATTGCCAATTTTTTTATGCGTTTACTGGCTTTATATTTCAACGCAGTAGGTGATATTTTGAATGCATTTTCTTTAAACTCTGTGTTGACTTTTTTTATATTAAATTTTGGTTCAGCTAATTCTTTTATACGTGGCGTCAATATTGCGTTTAAGGCAGATTTAGGAATGAAACCGGGATCATAATCCAAATTCAATTGTGTTTCCGAGGATAACTTTCTTGGTACCGATAACCGCTGAACCCAGTCTAGACCCATAGGTGTTATTTGACCAAATGGTCTTGGTTCAGTTGTTCTAATAATCATTTTTTTAACAAATCGTTTAAGTTTTGGTACTGTAGACAGTCTATTCAACATTATATCTGTTTGTGATTTTGTCATTTTTGATCGTCTTTTTACCTCAGGTAATCTTCTAAATATTCTTTTAGGTGCTGCATTCTTCTTAAGCCACTTCTGATGTTTAATCCAATCATCTGAATTGTTATTTATCGAAGATTTATTAAATTTACTATAAAGTCTTTCCGGATGTTCAGATTTTAGACATCTAGCGTGTACATGCCTAATTTTAGGTTTTGGTTTTGCAAGTTCTAGAATTCTTTCTCGAGTTTTTAGCTTATCATTAGATTTCCTATATTTATTCACGGCATTGTTTGATGATAACTTTTGATAAACTAAATCTATTGATACCTTAGGTCGGATTTTTGGAACAGCTAATTTGTATATTCTATTTGGGATTTTACCAGTTAATGTGGCCTTAATCACTGGTAATGGCAAAACTGCTTCCAACTCTGGATTTGGCCAAGGCCTAAGACGAACTGGTTTTGGAATTGCCAATTTCGCAATATACTTTAATTTCAATGAATTTTCCCATTTTTTAAAATGCTTTTTTGAACATGCACATCTGTTCTCCAATTTTTTTGGCACCCTTTTTGTTTTAATTTCGTTTTGCGATTCACTGAACTGTCCAAGAAATTCTACCAGATMATTTTGTCGCTTTTGATCATCTAGCATCAACATGTTACATATAGGTATTATTTTAATCAAACAAGCAGGATTATAGCACTATAATCTTCAGCAAAATAAAATATTAAGATATACATAAAATTAAATATTAAGACATAAGTTATAATAAAATAAACTGTAATAAATTGTTATGTTATTATAAAATGATAAATAATTTCTTAGCAACAATAGTGCATAATATAGTATCTGAATTATTTTGTTTAGATATATTTTTATTTAGCATTGACGAAAAAATTAAATCAGATTAAATTGAAATAGTTCGAAAAAAATAAATTAGCAAATTATATGCATATCAAAATAATTGATGAACTAATGTAACTGTCTAAAAGTTTGATTAGTAGTAAAGCAATCATAATTTTTCATCATTGCATTTTTTTTTTGGAATGAATGATATACTGCAATTTGATTGTTTTTACTGAAATTACGTCATATTGTTTTAGAACATTATTATTCGCGCATATTAAATATTACTATTATTTGACAATGAATAAAGAATTAAAAGAATAAAAAAAAAAGTATTCAATAGTAAAAAAATGTAGTTAAAATACCGTTAAATGCTTCAAAAATAAAAGTATTTTAAAAAGTATTCAATACGGAAAAAAGTATTTGAATACTTTTACTCAAATCTCAAATACTTTAAGACACTGAGTCCAGGGGCGTAGCTAGGGGGATTTTTTTTTGGTACTACTTGTATATTTTGTACTACTTGTATGACTTTTGGTAATACTCATGAAAATGTTAGTAATTAAGTAAATGAATTGTTAGTTGATAATCCAAAAAGTATACAGGGTGATTTTTTTATCATGAACCACTTATTATTTCAAAAAGTATCAATGTTTTTGAAAATATTTTTTTACAAAGTTTCATGTTGTTAAAAAAAAAAGTTTTTCTTAAAAAATTATGTTTTTTAATATTTTTTATCCTTATAATTTTTTAAGTTTTTTACTTTTTTGAATGACAACCTAGAGTTTTAATTTCATATTCCAAAGCAKAATATTTTTCTAAGTATTTTGATACGTAAAAATCGAATATTGGATGAATAGTTTATGAGTTATAAGTATTTTAAGTTTTGACAAGCGGAGTAGTGGACAAACATTTTGCGGGGTAACTCCATACCACTCCACTCTGCCAATCTAAACTTTAAATACTTATAACTCATAAACTACTCGTGCTAAATTCGATTTTTATGAATCAAAATACTTAGAAAAATATTCTGCTTTGGAATATGAAATTAAAACTCTAGGTTGTCATTCAAAAAAGTAAAAA